TTCTAAACCAATTATAAGTTACATCTGGTATTCCAAATGCTTCACAAGTCCAAGTTAACTCTCCTCTATTATCCATATGTTTATCTACTAATGGAATTGTAAAATTCGGAGCTGCCTGTATAGTTAGCGTTACAAAATTTTCAATTGATAATCTATCATTATAAACTCTACAAATATATTCTCCTTGATCATCAACATGTATTTTAGGAATTATTAATACTCGATTATAACTAGTTGTGTAAGCTCCACGTGGTAGTGGTGCACCTCTTCTTGTCCAATTGTATGATGGAACAGGACTATTAAATTAAAAAATATATTATATAATAAAATCATATATTATTTTGATATAAATTTTTATACATATATTTATAAAATTATTAATTATAAATCAAGTTTAAAAAAAAAATTGAACTTACTATCCAAATGCAATGCATTCAAGTCTAACTTCCTCTTCTGCAATTGGAGCTTCTGGAAATGCTTTTGGAAAATTATTAGGGAATTTTAATTGCTGAAAAGAAGCTGAAACATAAAAAAAATATTAAATAATTGATGCAAAGATTGAAGAATAATTTATATACAGAAGAAAAAGATAATTACAATGTGGATCAACTCTTAAAGGAAAAAATGGTCCATTACGACCAGTATCAGAAGCAACACTTTGAACATTACAAGAATAATTGCCACGATCAATCATTTCTAATGCAGAAAAATAAAGTGCACCATCATTGGAAACAAAAACACGTTTATCTTCTTCCACAAAATTAGGAAAATAATCACGTGCCCAATAATATTTTACTCCAGGATAATGTTGTGGTGGATCACAATATACAGCTTTACCCCAATTTTGATCTCCGCGTTCTTCTGAACGCTTTAAATTAAATTCTAAAATATATCCAAAAGACAATTCTACACTTTCAGATATGATTGTACCAAATTTATTTGTTGCTTTACAATGATATGAACCTCTATCTTCTGTCTAAAAATAATTAATTTATATTATAATTAAATAAAATTTTCTTTTATTTTGCATAAGTTTTATAAAATTTAAATTATTAAAATTTAAGATACTTTTAAAATACTTATAAAATTTAAGATACATTTAAGATACTTACTTGATCAGGTTCATAAATAATTAAAGTACCACCACTAACTGTATATCTAACATTATTTAATGGATCTATTTTTGTTGCAATTAATTTATCATTTTCATAATCTTCTTTAAACCATTCATATGTTGGTGTAGGATAACCACCTGCTAAACAACTCAATGAAACATCATTACTTATTTTTCTTGTTGACATATCAAATACTTTATCTGTAGGTTGCTTAATAAAATATGGTCCTCTGGGTATTTCATTAGGATTATCAATTTCAATACCATATTGATAAGTACGATCATCATCTATTAAGTTATATAAATTAGAAATTGGTGCTTCACAAATATATAATAGTTTTTCTTTACCAGTTACTTTTTCTAATCCCCAACGTTGTAAATTATTATTATAAGAATATATTAAATAATCTTTATCAAATGAATCAAATGGTTCAGGTAAAAATGCATTATCCATATTTACTAATTGAGTATTATCACCTTCATTTATCCAATTTCCATTTTGATTTATGATACCAGTATACCATTTACGATGTTGTGGATCTTGCCATAATAATTGATATAATATGAATCCATGTTCTTCCAAAGAATTAATTGTAATAAGATCACTTTGATAGGCTTCACAATTTCTTTTAGCATCTTGTCTTTCCTTAATAGGACTTTTTATAAAACGATAACATGATTCTTGAAATTTTATCCAATGTTGTGGACAATGTTGATATAATTCTTCATACAAGATATTTTGTGCAAATGTGTTATATGACAAAATATAAATATATATTAAAATTTTTGGTACACAATGCATTATTACTTATTATTATTTTAATATAAGTAGTAAATTATTAAGTTTACTCAAATTAGTTATAATCTGAAATAAAATATTATTAAGTTAATTATTTTTATCAAATAATTTATGTATTAATTATAATTTTTATCTTTTTTTAGATATTAAAAATTTTTTTATATTTATCATTAATATGTTATTTTGATTTCTTGAATAAATTTTTTTAATATTTAATATATTTAATATTTAATATAATATAATATAAAATTTTGATTAATTTATTATCAACTTTCTTAAAATTTAAATAAACAATTGTGTCTTATATACAATGTATATAATAATATACAAATAATTGTTATAAAAATTTCNAATTTTTAAAATATAATTTTTAAAATATATATAACTTAATATAAAATATTATTTGGATTCATAAAAATTAACGATAAACGTCAAATAATAAATTTCAAATAACAAATGATAAATGTCAAATAACGAATGAATGGCATATTTCGTATATATCTTAAATTAAAAAAATTTAATTTGTTACCCAA